CCTTGGTACACGACCTCGATCACCTTCACCGAAGAACCTTCGTGCGGCGAGCATAAAGATCGTACACGCGGATAATACACGGCCGGTCTCCGATCGGCGCGGAGTAACTCTCACTTTTTTCCACGTACCCGAGGCGCGCGAGCGATTCCTTCAATTTCCCGGCATTCCTCGGCCGAGGCTCTCGATACCCCGGGGAACTTTCATCGGACCCGACCGGGAAGAGACCTTTCGAATCGCGGGGCCGGGAGGTCCGCCCCCCAGTCCGACTTCCCCGGACCGGGGCAACTTCGCCCACCGGCGAGAGCACTTCCGAAGTTGCCTGGGCCAAGTTCGCAACCGCGGATCCGCTACTGATATCCCCGACAGCGAGTTTGACTCGACCGAAAGATCCCTATCGAGATCCACTGAAGGGTTGCGAATGACGAGATAGGTCCCTGGGTCGGAAACTAAGAAACCTCCGACACGGTTTAGACCCTACATTGCTAGCAAAAATATCGTACTTATATGATGTTTTTAGGGAAAGGTTTATTCAGACATGGTTTAGTAATTATCATATTTTCCAGGAATACGTTGTATATTTATGCATATGGTATAGATTTAATAAGTAAGCGTATTATGATGTAAAATTGTAAATTTGTAATTTTACCAACTTGATGTACTAGACGTATATGGATATTATGAATAGTTTTAACAGCGTAGTTCCTCGTTAAAAGTTCTCAGCCACAGTTTTAGGTAGGACCTAGAAACCAGGGCCTATTTTTCTTGTTAACGTTAAGTTAAGACCATGTTAGAATTTAATTTATTATCGAAGGCAGGTTTACCCAAGCTTTCCCCGTTAAAATATAATTAGGGCCTATTTAAAATTGAATTACGGATCGTTATAAATTTGTTAAATTCTTTTTTATTGAACAAATCTATTTCATCCTCGCTAGGGTGACGTTCCAATGCAAACCCTACGTTCTTAGGAAATTCCAGAAAAATCCTAGAGAGCATCCTTGCAGACTTTTTTGCCCTAGTCGGGGATATGAACGCGTGGAAACGCGATACGTAGAATTTGTGTAAAACATTTCCCTCGTCTTTAAATTGTGAATCACTGGGGCCGCAAGTGGGCCACCGAGAATCGGTGAAATGCCACGAAATCGAACCGATCCTCCATTTCCCCTCCTCGATCCCATCGTTGATCTTCGATGTCACGAACGGGCGAGTGAACTTCATTGCACGAGAAAACCGAGAGCGGAAATGGAACCGATCGCGTTCAGGTGTAGAGCGAGGTGTTTGGTGGGGAAAAAAAAAGTACCCGATCGAACGGCGAGGTATCGATCTATTGGCGGTGAAATCACCGCGGAGAAGCATTTAGTTCCCCATACCGACCATCGTACGAGGCACGAGGCGACCGATTGTATGCCGACTTGCTCGATTACCGATCCGCTGAGTGTACACGATCTATCGTCGAAATCACGAGCACGTTGTTAAGAGACGTAAAACCGTTGTCGGCAATCTCTTGACGTCATCGATGGGCAGTAAATTTCGCTGCATAATCAGGCCGAGAGTGCACGGACCGGAAACGAGCGGTCGCATTGAATTACATCACGCGATGTCGATGACAGAAAAGTCGTCGATCGAACGTCGAACCGAGGCACCGATCTTTAGGCGGTGAAATCATCGTCGAGAACGATTTAATTCTCCGCATAGAATCCAAGCACAAAACGACCTACTCGATTAGTCGTTGTGTAGTTAACAGGCGAGACAAGGCCGTCGAGAGTCAGAAAATTGTCACAGGATGAATCGCTGTCATTAAGCGGTACAAAGGAAACGGCTTCCTCGATCCTCGAATTTGTCAACAAAGTGATATATTTACGGAATGGTAGAAATCGGTCGCATAAACAGACGGGTTAATATTTTTCATTCAGGTTTTCAATTTTGTGGTACCTGTATATCTTCCCAGAACAGAAACCATCCTAGCACACATTGCTTGGCAAAAAGTCGCAACAACTAATAATAAAAATAACTCAAATCGGAGACTAACATATATCGTTTAGGATGAATTAAAGAGATGCCGATTTACTCTCGATTTAAAAAGCACTTGTAATTACCAAGATATGGTCATAGTCCTCAACTTACGTTAAATAATATATGTTGTTATCTATTAAGCTCAACTTTGAATTTTTGGGGTTGCAGGGTACAATTACCTACTCATCCTACCACTGTTTAAATGACGCTGTTTGAATTCACTTTCGGTTTGAAAGGCACTTGTAATTACCAAGATATGATCATAGTCCTCAACTTACGTTAAATAATATATATTGTTATCTATTAAGCTCAATTTTGACTTATCAGGGTTGTAGGATACAATTACCCACCCATCTTACCGCTGTTTAAATGACGCTGTTTGAATTCACTTTCGGTTTGAAAGGCACTTGTAATTACCAAGATATGATCATAGTCCTCAACTTACGTTAAATAATATATATTGTTATCCATTAAGCTCAATTTTGACATTTCGGGGTTGTAGGATACAATTACCTACCCATCCTACCGCTGTTTGAATTCACTTTCGGTTTAAAAGGCACTTGTAATTACCAAGATAAGATCATAGTCCTCAACTTACGTTAAATAACATATGTTGTTATCTATTAAGTTCAACTTTTACTTTTCAGGGGTGTAGGATACAATTACCTACCCATCCTACCGCTGTTTAAATGACGCTGTTTGAATTCACTTTCGATTTAAAAGACACTTGTAATTACCAAGATATGATCATAGTCCTCAACTTACGTTAAATAATATATATTGTTATCTATTAAGCTCAATTTTGTCTTTTCGGGGTTGAAGGATACAATTACCTACCCATCCTACCGCGGTTTAAATGCAGAAAAATCGCGACATATTCAACGACCGAGATAGTCGTTTCAAGTTTTCACCGATTCGGAGTCGGCGAGGGCAATAAAAGGCGGAAGTGAAATGCAAAGTAGGCGAGGAATGCGCGGCGAGAGATCTCTCAGCCTCGGTTAAACCGGCAACTCTCGTTTCGCGCGGAGGCAACCGCACCTAAAATCAATTTCGCCCCATCGCGCGGTTAACGGGCTCCCCGTATTGCGGGAAAACTCGAGGGCAAAAACGCAAGAGCCCCGCTCGGAAAAACGGGGGAAATCTTCCGACGAGGCGCCCTCGTCGAGGCGACGGAAGCCGCGTCGATATCCGGAAGAGCATCCACGAAAAATTCGCCTCGCGTCGGATTTTTTTTTACGAGCCGGGGGAAACACTCGCACCGCCCGGAAATCGGGTTCCGCGGAAAGACAATAAACCTCCCCGCGGTGCGGAGAACGGTAACGAGAGGCCCGACGATGCGGGAATGCTCGTAATCTACCGAGATCCCCGGAATCGCGCGACCTCGCTCTTAAGGTTGCCGGCTTCCGGGTAACGTCGTCGACGGGTCGATTAACGAGCCAATTTGCTCGTTATATATCCCGTAGAGTTAAACAAGGACGGGGAGACAAGCCTTCCCCGCGTTTTACGAATTTATCGGCCGGCCGATAATTGCTTTGGGCAAAACCGGCGACGCGATTCGCGCTCCTCGAAGACGCTTTTCCGGCCGCGACGAAGCGCACCTTCTCCCTCGCTTTTTGCCCCCTTGCGAACTTCTCGCCCAAGGGCGAGCACAAAGGACAAAGTAGCTGGAAAATCCGACCTCGTGGCCCGCGGCTTTGAATATACGAACGACGGGCATTATACTTCTGGTTTATAGCAAATCGAGCAGCGGTTTCGAGTCGGGGAAGATCCAGAGAAAGCTAGAAATTGGGTTTCAGCTACCATTTGCGCGTCTCTAATTCGTTTTAACTTTCATCGCGCGTAGTTTTTTTTTTTTTTACCATTCGAGGGATTTTAAAGGTTAGGATTAAGATGATGGACTTTGACTTTGTCTTTTCTTCGTTTCTTTTTTCTATTGAGAATTTTTATGGAATGTTCTATGAGCAGTTTTAATTTTCATCGCGTGTAGTTTTTTTTTTAACCATTCGAGGGATTTTAAAGGTTATAATTAAGATGATGGACTCTGACTTTGTCTTTTCTTCGTTTCTTTTTTCTATTGAGAATTTTTATGGAACGTCTTTGGCGGTATGGTTACGCTAATGTTCTATGAGCAGTTTTAACTTTCATCGCGTGTAGTTTTTTTTAACCATTCGAGGGATTTTACAGGTTAGGATTAAGATGATGGACTTTGACTTTGTCTTTTCTTCGATTCTGTTTTCTATTGAGAATTTTTATGGTACGTCTTTGGCGGTATGGTTACGCTAATGTCCTGGTATTCGTCGATGACTTTGAAATAATGCAAACAGTTAAGAGGAATTATTTATCGTGGGAATTTATCCACGAAATCAGTTGCATACAAGTTTTTCAAGTATGGGCGGGCGACGGCGATTTTGTTACGTGCGTATCTGGCCCAAGCAAGTGGGAAATCATTTTTCCCATAATTATGAAAGTGGTCTAAGTCATATATTTTTTGTTTCGAAATTACATTGAATTAATTTCGTTTGAAATAATATGGCGTGAAATAACTGATAAACTCATTTTTTTTTTATTTTTATTTAGACCACTTTCATAATTATGGGCACAATTATGTGATAGAGATGTAAACTTTCATAATAAATTCAACATATCGGATCGAATACCATCTTTTTCTACAAACGGTAAATCGAAATAAGAAGTAATTAATTTTCAATAACATTTCGCTCTCTCGACTGTTTCCCTTTTATCTTTAATCAACAAAAATATCAATCTCTCTATCTCTAGTCCATACGTTTAGATGTCAAAACTTTAAACGATATATTGCACTTACATGGAAAAATAGTGAGAAACTAAAATCTTAACAAGTTCTCTCGTCGAGCAATTTAGTTTCAAGCCCCCCGTAATTTATCGATGGATAATGTCGTAGCTAACATTGCGTGCACAAAAGTTGAATGGAAAGTAAGACGTAGGTAACAAGAGCGAATAAGAGTACTTACCCCTTCGTTTCCTAGGAATTGTATGGTAGGGTTTTGGCTGGTCTTGTTCTGTAACAAAAAGAATTGGTTCGATCGTTATTCACGATGTCGTCAAAGGGATCTCCGATTAATAAATCAAACAGGGATATAAGTACCAGAGGGATCGAAAGAAAATTACGGCGAGTAAAGATGAATTTAAGCGTGAATAATTATATAACACCCAGCGCGTTACCGGCGGCATGAAAACTCACGGAAAGTCTCAAGAAACTCATCCTCCCGTAATTATTAGGGGACAAAAAGCGACGATCGCCGCGCTCATTAACGACAACGCATAAGAGAAATAATATAAATTAATATAGACACTGAGTCAAGGCCTCGGCAGCTATACATATCAGCACGTTGCCAAGTAAAACCGCGAGAGGTCGGCTATAATTATCGTTAGATAAAAAGATAATCGGATACATAGCCGTCCGAAAAAGCCGCAATTGTTCCCCTTAAAGAAGGTCAAGCAAATAACAGGAACCAAATGGTCACCCATGAAAGAATTCGGGGTTCAAATGAATCCCGAGGGAAGCGAAAAGATATCCTTTCTCTCCAGGGAAATTAAAAGAGCTGCTAACGAGGAATTAATCGGGCACCGTGTGCCTAAATATGGAAGTGACGGAGCCAAAATAATGATTTACCGAACGGGACGTGACGTGATGGGAATCGAGGTAATTATTTCATTATACACGAGCGAGCCATGATATCCGGACCTCGAGGTTTTCAGACGGAGTCGAGAGCGCTCGAAGAAAAAAAGAAAAGGAAAAAAACGAAACCTGAAATTAGCTGCGAGTAACGCTTCTTTTATCTCTCGATGCACTTCCTTATCGGATGTGCATCGGGCGGAACCGACACGAGCGAAAAGAAGATATCTTTGCGAGAAGAGAAAACGCCGAAATGTACCCTGGCTGTTCATTTCGCGAGCGCGTCCTCGCATGTACCAGCTGCCGACACCGTCGTTTACATTAACGGCATTCGGAAGAAAAAGACGTGTACGGAAACTAAGGCCTGCAATTAATCCATCGGTTTTGCATGCACGCGGAACATCGACGAATCATTCCCACGGTGGGATCGTTGAACTCAGGAGTAAGTGCCCGTTCCGGGCTTGAAAAGCTTTACGTCCGACTCGTCGGTCGTTTCTATCTACTCTAAACCTCTCTTAGCTTAATCCTCTCGAAACTTAATCATTGTTTCATCGATCTTAACACTTTACCGACCGGAAGCCTATTAATCGATTTTGCGATATCCGTGATCGCCATTTACTTGCAAATTCACCGGTCGGTAAAGTGTTAAGGGGACGTGAAAGTGACATCTGAGGGATCGATCGTTCATGAAATTTTTCGCTGAACTGGGTGTACCGAATCGGTTCAAATTTGACAACGTGAATATGGAGTCTATTAAGGAGGTCCTGACCCGCGTGAAATTCTATTTTTTTTTTAATTTCAAAAGAATTCCTATAAACAAATTTTTGGAGAATCGAAATTTCAGGAGCTTTAGGACTCTCCTTATAATCTCCATATTCGCGTTGCGAAGTTAGAAACGATTCGGTTAACCAAATTCAGAGAAAAGTTTTATAAACAAAAGGTTTTCGACGCCACTTTCACGTCGCCTTAAACTTCCTTCAAAGGTGAAACTCCATATCCGACCTCGGGTAAGTTTAACCATATTTCCCTGGATACGTTAAGTTGCCTAAAAAGTCACAAACTGCGAATCCGCTCAATCGTATCGCTATCTTATCACTTGCCAATCGAGATCTTTTCGGTTTTCGGTTCAGTCAATTACCTTATTCAAGAATCGTCCTTACATGCATCACCTTCCAAGTAAAAATACAGAAACAATCATTGTATCCCATGAATCAAAATAAGAATCTGTGCTATTGGTGATTCCTCCCTGTGTCGGCACCGTAAAGACCTTTATTTGGTTCTAAATGAGTCGATGAATTTATACATATGATTCAAAATAATAAACAAAATATCCTGGCACGCAGTGTAACACTTAGTGCATCGCCATTTACTCGAAGCATCGGAAATTCTCCCAAAAATAATTATTCCTTCCCAAATGATCGGCTTCCAATACAGAATAAATTTCTAAAATAGATTAACAATTATACTCTGGGAGCTCCTCGTAGGAGGTACCTTCGTCGTACCAGAAATTGTCGAGCCGACCACCTTCCCGATCATCGGTTAACGCGCGACTGCACCGAGCGCCGCCGAAGATGCGCTTGACCGCGTCTCGGACGTTTCATCAGTGGGCGGTGCGGTGTGTCAATGGTAAGACCAGGAGCCGACTTCGCGACTTCGGAAGCTGTCGCCTTTCCCAAGACAAACGTCATCGGTGCAACGGACCCCGGAGTACCCATGAACATAGGATGCACGGACTTCGCACACTGATCCGACCATGAAGTCCGCAGAACCGTAAGAGAGAAAACAAGGGACTGCTTTGTCGCTCTTTCTCTCTCTTTTTGCATGAAACAATTGTACAACGAGACGTGGCAACGGCCTACCCAACACCAAGAGAGACGGAGAGAGAGAAAGGACAAGCTCATCTGTCGCCCTCTTTATTTGTCTTTACAAGAATATAGAGGAAATGGTTAGGCCGTGTCCCTATATCCTTTGTTCGGTCCACGGCGTTTTGATGCCCTGATTTTATAATTTAATGCAATTAAATGTGATACAATTTTTATGTATACCCTAATCTAGCCTATACGACATGTACAATTTATTATAATATAAACGGCGGCAACTAAACGTTTAGTTTTATTTTATGTCCGGGAGTATTCCCCACAAGATACTGGACGCGTATAAACATCTAGACCCGAGTCGAAATGATTGATCTCGATTGAACCTCTAAATCCTCTATTCTTTTGGCCATTTAGTGTGCCGACAGAAGTTTCAGAGTCGTTTAGTCAAGAACCTAAGAGTTCGCTTTCCTCGTTAGAACCTCGAAGTTCTCGGAACGTTTCGGCTGAGTCGAGTTAAAGAAAATCTCAAAATAGAATAGGTATTTCATTTTACACAAATTATACCTGACAATCTTCAAACCACCAATCATTGAAGAAAAACGGAGTAAAACTAATTACGAACTATATTAGACATATGAGTTCATTGAATTATACCATTCGTGGAAGGTAGAATCTTAAGTACTGGAAATTTAACATCACAACCAATATTAAGGGGATGTGAAAGTGGCATCCGAAAGCTCAATCGTTCACAAAACTTTTCTACGAACTGGGTGTCTCAAATCGTTTCATACTTTAAAACGTGAATATGGAGACCCTAAGGTAGGTCCTAAAACTCGCAAAATTTAATTTTTAATAAACTATTCTTAAAATACCTATAAACAAATTTGAAAAGAATTGAAATTTCATGAGTTTCAGGACCCCCCTTATAGCCTCCCTATTCACGCTGTAAAGTTTCAAACTATTCGATAAACCGAGTTGGAAGAAAAGTTTTATAAACAAAACCTCTTCGACGCCACTTTCACATCACCTTAATAATTTAATATTAAATTCCTAGAATAAAAGGTAAACTTCGACCCTTCAGAAACGGCCAATAGGGTGTATTTTCGGTTAAAACGAGACCAATTCCATTATCACCTGCCTATCTCAAATTCTTGTATCATCTCCAAGTTCTCCCGTGCATTCATAAGCTTGGCTTACACGAGGTGTAAGTTTTCGGCCGGTGTTCAATGGACTCGAGGTCGACTCACGAGATGCACCCGGCAGGGTCGACGCGACCGCTGGGAGCGATGCACCTTGACGCGCGGCATTGCGCGTCCGAGCGGTGGCGCGCGCGATTTTGCGTAGACGTACGCTCGGCGATTAGTTGAAAAGGGAAAGTCGTCGGTCGGCAGAGCGTGCCGTCGTAGCCGGCAGCGGTGGCGGTTCGTTGCACGGGGCTTGCGGTTAATGGCGTCGGTAGCGGTGCGTTCCGCGATCGCTGGCCGACGTTAGAAGAGCGTCTCGAGCCGATTCGATCTGCGGTCTGGAATTATTAACGCGTTCGCGGCTCGCCCGAAGTCGATCTTAGCCGTGCCAAGTATGCCCGCACCCGCCATTAAACGCACGATACCGACCAATAATCGACAGGACGCACGATACCGACCAATAATCGACGGGACGCACGGACAAGTCGCTATTAGTGTCGGCGCTGCCGCTGTCACTTCCAGATTATTCTATTCGATTATTGCACTCGATTAGAGGCTTATTGCCCCGGTCACGCGACGCGCTTAGACGAGAATCCGGGGCAAGGGGATCATCTCCGGAACGCTGACGAGGATCGATTTATCGGATTGATTTCGCTTAGATGATGGACTCGGTGGTCTGGGATGTCCCTAACACGCGTTGCACAGTGGGCGTATACCCGAAAACTTGAAACGTTCATCCTTACTACATTGATAGCCTTACCCAAGTACCATTTTCTAATTGAATTACATTGGTACGTTGTACTTGCAATGGCAGGAAATATCGCGACGATCCTAGCTTGGATTTTTCCCAGATAAGTATCTTCGGGTTGAGTCGACTTCGTCCACTCTGGGTGCAGTCGTACAATGTATGCGGTACGCGCCATTCACAGTCTCCATATTAAATTTTACACACCTCGTTGGAGGCGATTATCGCGCCCAAGTGCACGCTAAACTGCGGTAACTCCACCTGCGACTTAACCTTGATTTATTCCTTCTCCCGGGAACCCAGGGAAATTAGTATAAGTTTAACCGGCCAGAGACTCGCGCATTGAATTGAAGGCGCAGATTTTCTCGCAATTTAGCTGATGTGTCACAGGGACATGGATGGGACCCGTTTACTTCAAGGTCCTTTGAGAAGAGCCATTCGGGAGAGGCAGGTCGGGTCAGGGGCACTTCACTCGCTAAGAGTGGGCCATTACTTGACGGCGATTTTCCTTACGCATTCACGGGTAACTTATGCCCACTATTATCCAACGACCCGTCCCACTCGTGTCGCGGGTGTCTGTCCGGATCTCGAGTACCCTATCTAGACCGAGACCCGATGTTAATCCTTCCCTCGAGGTCCAATC